GTACAGTACCCCTGAAAATATATGTGTTTTCTGAGAGTGATAGGAAATGTGGTGATTCTTAGGACCCATTCCCCAAATTCCTTTTATACTTATTTTGCCTCTTGCATCTGTTCTTGCAAAACCACGAGAGCTTAGCACAAGTTCTGCAGTGCTGTTCAGAGAGTGTGTGTGTGGGGAGTGGGGAGTTGGAGTTGAATTTTCCATATTCATGCCCTCAAATAGACCCTCAGAGGTCCCCTGTGGGAGGGAAAGAGAAACTCAAGCCCAGTACAATAACATACGCTTCTGGGGTCTCCATGCTCCTCAAATCTATTTTTAAAAGCATGCTTTAGTAAATTATATATAACATATAGCACATCATGAATGTATGTGTACAAAATGATGAAATGGAATCACTTCGGGCTGTGAATGTCATTCATTTCCTTCCTTCATATGAGTTTGCATCAAGAGTGAAGCACACATCCTTGCCTTGAAAGATTGATCTCTTCTGCTTTGTGGGTCACTGCTGCCTGTCTCCTTGCTGGCTTTTATGGAGAGCCATGGTATGGACCATCAGGTACCCTGGAGACCACCATGTTAGGCTGACAGATGCTGCTACTGTATTTGTTGTCATGGAAGAGCTATGGCATGTGGAAACCACCTTGGTCAGCCTACTTTACTTCACCATCATCCCCATGATATGGTGTGGGGGGTGATGGTGAAGTAAAGATCTGACTTCTCCACCCCAAGTCTTGAGGGTGAGGAATGTAAGAGATGGGCTAAAACTGAATTTTCCCAAGTCACACTGGAGCAAAACAAAACAAAATACAACATGAGAAGATGACAGATGCGATGTCTAGCTTCTCAGTACCTGAGCTAGGTACCTATATTTATTGTATCCTCCTGAAGATGTAGTAGTGTCCTCCCTGGAATCTCCCTTTGCATAGAGCTACCACCTCTTTCAGAGCAGCTGATTAGTTGAAGGCATCTGTATTGATGGAATTACAGTTTCATTCATTCAGTTCTTTTTGACCAGGCCACAACCCAACCCAAGTCCACTGTGGTTCATCCAAGTCATGGAATAGCAAGAAGGGAGTAAAGTGATATTTTCATGGTTGGATATTTGCTGGTAACTGAATGAAGACACTGGCCCCAAGATGATGTGATGAGTCAGGAATGAGTCTTTAAAAACCCCCAAGACGTAGAAATCTCTCAAACAGATCCCAGGTTGAAAAATCAGCTTAAATCGATAGAAATGTCGGATAGGAAGAGGACATCTCTGTCCTCCTTTCTTGCACAAATTGTTTCAAAGATGAAGGAAAGGATTACACAGTGGAGGGGAGTAATGTCCAGAGTGATGACTGGGCTCACTGAAGTATACAGAACATCAGCACCACTCCTGGTTCAGTCTCTCTGCTGGAGCAGCCAGAATCCATGCAGGTTATGTTTCACTAGCCACAAGGCACATAAGTGAATCAGGAGAGCCAAGAAGGCAGTGCATTGGAACTCAACAAGGCTATTGACATTGGTCTGCTATCCTTTAGACAACAAAATGCTGTAAGACTATAGTATCAAGAAGTTTTTTTTTTTTAAAGTATGCATTTTAAAACCAAGTAAAATGCTCTGGCTTAATTCCTGATCATATTCTTATATTCTTCTTTTTTGGGAAAAGAGGGACCTAAATTTCATTAGCTAAAATCTTGCAAAGCATCATTTATATTCAGCTTTTGGAAATAAAGAATTTGTCATTTAATGACAAATCTGCATTTCATCATGAAGATGGGACATAACATCCTTGGCTTGGTTTTCTCCTCAGAGGGAGGCCCTCGTTGGTGTAGTATGCTTAGAATACAGTAGAGGCAAAGATGACAGTGAATTTATTTCAAGCACAAGACTGTGGTGCATATAAATCTAAGAACCTAGAGCCATGAACAATGTAGCCTCTATTCCAAGTAGCCCAAACTTCATTTCACAATATTTTTGGAGTAAAATTTCATTGTTCTATTGTTTTCCACCACAGTACTATAAATAGGACAAGTCATAAATATAAGAAATGTTTCAGAATGACTGAAAAAAAATTATTAACATTTTTGACAATGTAGGCCCAATATGTAAGAATTATTGTATTAGGAACAGATATATCAAAATCAAGTTGAAGTTCTTAAATAGCAGACAATGAGCAAGAATTGGGTATTGCATGCTATTAAAAATTCAGAAGACAACACCTTTGAAACTATAATAAAATAATATAATAAACATTGTATTTATATAAAATTAGTATAAATAAATTAGCAAAGACTAATATTTGCAAATATTTGCATTTACTAACTTATTATATGTATATTATAAATTAGTATTTGTAATATATCATTATTATAATAAAATACTCATAGTGTATTTTTTATATTGACTTTTTTAAGATTCTGAATGAAAAAAACTTTTGCTACTGTAAAGAATAACTAAGCCAAACTAAAGTGATAGGAATTGACTGAAAAACACGTAAGACATGGGTATGGCCATGACTTAATTACGTCAGCTCCATCCATAAAAACTCATCCCAAGGCCATCTCCTCTGTACATGGCACTGGATTAGAACCCATGAAGAAAAACCCCAGGAAAGGACCTTCTGCAAGACAGGGCAACAATGAGCTAGAACTGGAACTGGATATTTTCACATAAAGTACCCAGGTAATAGAGGCAAAGTTATCAGTGGCATACCCTGGACTGGCCCCAGATTATGTTTCCTAGCCCTGTGGCATTGAAAAGGGTTTTGATATTCAAACAGACAAAAGCAGGTATATACATACTCCACACTCTCTTCCTTTGTTTTCTGTGGTGACCTTGGAGATCACATGGTCAACATGGTGGTGACAAAAGATGGAAGGAGCCTGGATCCCTGAATGACTCTATGGTTCAGTCTCATGTTATCATCCCAATCATGTTTAAAATATACTGGAGGAAATATGTGACTTTATTCTGTTAAGGACGCTGAACTTGTGTTGCTGTTCATTTAAGCCATGAGAGTTACTTATCCTAATACAGTATCCTCACCCTGAATCCTTGAGATAATTAGTTCAAATAACCTCTTGTCTAAAACTATGGACAGAGTCGAAGTGATTCTTAATCCAAGTCAAGGTATATTTATCAAGTGCCTCTCTATGCACAGCTCTGCTATATGTGGCTATCATTTCCCCGGTTATTTTCCATCTGCTGCTAGGATTCCTTACAGGGAATGAAATTCATGAACAACCAAGGCACAAAATAATACATAAGACTATATTGAGAGAAGTCTGATTTCTCTCCAAATAAAGTAGAACATGTGCGTACGTGCATATGTGTGTGTGTGTGTGTGTGTGTGTGTGATTTTAGTTACAATTCAAAGAGTTTTTGCTTTAGAACAAAGGTTCATACATTTGTTTAAGGCCTGATTCAAAAGTTTTAGGGAATTCTTTGAGATGCATTCTCCTGAATTTAAATTTAGGACTTGACTATAAGCCTCTGTGTACAAAAATCATAGAGGATATCAAAGCTAGATTTTCCTACTCTTCCAGGAAGGAATCTCATCAAAATTATTTTCCTGTATAGTCAAGTTCAAAGATGGACAGTCAGCTGATAGATGCCTTTTCCGCAGCAAAAAAATAAGCAGTAAAAACACCACTCTCACTCCAAAACCATATCTGGTCTCAAAACCAGAACAATCTTGCACTTGAACCATTCAAAATGCGACATACATTAAATCCTGTGCCTGGGCCAGGCGGCTCCCGAGACAGATGGTGCACAGCGTTCGAAAACTCGGTATTATTTAAATGAAACAAGCATTCCATTGCTCTCCATCACACTGAACAATGAAGACTTTACATCCAGAGATTCCATCAGAGGAGCTCTCTCTGTCTCCATTTGCAGTATTGGACAGATAAATAAATACTCTTTTAGATCAAGTTATCTGCCTGATGTTGCTTAGAGAAACAGAGACTCTAATGATCAAGTTGGTGTAGCACTGGGCCATTACCATCTTCCTCTGAGACCCACCATTGGAGGGAGAAGTGTGCAATATGCAGGCAATATGACTTTAAGAAAGTATTAACATGCCTAAGATGACTTGGAATTGCCAGCCTTCTGGGTTGTTGTGGGGGACATTGGAAGGAATCAACGAACATTTCCAGGAGATTACAGATATCACAGGGGAAATTGTTAGTTAGCACTGTGCACGCAGAGCTGACTTTAGACACCTGCAAAAATCAGAATCACTGCAAAAAGAAAAAAAAAAAGGAAAAGAAAGAAAAAAGAAAGCCAGAATGCTATAATAGCAACAGTGCTTTCCCCTTCCAATGCCTCTATACCCTTTTCCAAATCTGAAACCCCCACGAGCCAGGTTCCCGTACAAACTGGGTGTTTCCATTTCATCTGGTTTATACTGAGTTGCCATATTGGCTGGACCTCAAGAATGGCCTGCAAGTGGCTTGGTTTCTGTGCTTAAGAAAAGGCAGGCTGCCCAGCAAAGAACATGGCGGAGGGCAGCCACTGGGCACTGTCTCCAGAAATCATTCCCACTTCTTCTTGGGACAAATATTGAATTTATTATTCCTTCCATGGTGCCCCCTACCCCTTGGGAGATGGGATTAAGAAGCTCTGCACTTTTGCTCATTCCTGGGAGGAAGGTATTTATTAGGACAAAAGAGGAGCCTGTGCTCCCAAAGGCATCCATGGGCAGGCATCACATGGGCTTGCTCTCTGTTCTGGAAACCGTGACTTCTTGATGGCATGGGCAGAAGGGACAGGAGCCTACGAGAACCAGGCTGTGACAGCCGGGAAGCTAATGTATGTTACCTCGGAATCCACCAAGGGGAAAAACTTTGAAACATTTTAAAAATGCAGGTGCACAAATTACTCATGCCAGAAGCGGCAGTGGCACTTTGTAATAAAATCTTATGTTTATTTTCCACTGTTGAATACACATACCTTAGTGTTCCCAGAGAGAGAAGCCTACAATGCTATCCAATGAACAGTTTGCAGATGGATTAAATACATGTACCAATGAAATAAAACGTGCAGATTTGGGGCTTTTTGCCTCCTACCTTTGCTCTGGGCCCAGAGCTCCCCAATGATGACACGGGAGGTTTGTGCAAAGATCTAAAGTCGAGAAGGATTAGTTTAAAGAGTCAGATGGAAAAGGACACAAATGAAAATGCCTTCTGCATGAGCCTGAAAACCAAAACTTAGCAATGAGCGATTCTAGCTTCGGAGGCTGTGACAAGTGATTGCAAAGGAGGGAAGTTTCCAGTCACTTCACAGCAGGTAGGGCAGTGGCTGGAGAAGCACTGTGGGATTTCTTACTCAACGGGACTTCCTGGTTCTTGAGGAAGCTTTGGAAGGGGGGAGTGTGGGATATATGTAAGGGTCTTTGTTTTATATATATATATATATATATATATATATATATATATATATATATATATATATATATATTTGATATTTGAAGTTTACAGGGGCAAATCTTCCAGATGCTGCTTCCTTCTAAGTCATTTATTTTGGTGACAATGTATTTGAAGGCTAATAGTTGAACAGCACTATTATTGACACAGTATAGGACACCAAAATGTGCAAGACAGGGTACCAGAGCTCCACTGGTGGAGTTTACAAGCCATACAGGGTACAGCAGAAGTATGAAATATTCAGAAAGTAAAGTCCCTTGAGGGAAAGGAGAGATCCCTTTGGCTAAGATCAAGGGAGAGATAATAAAGGGAGGGTAGGTTGGTCTCTAGCCTTTAGATACAACACATGAGCTGGTGCTTAGGGAGAGGGGAGGAGAGAAGAGTTTGAGAAGGCTTCCATTGTTGCCATAGGCTTTGGTTAGGAGAATCTTAGAAATGCATCGAGTCTGCCCTGCTGGCACAGGAACACATCCCAAGACTCCCAGGTCCTCTCTATTCCACATACGGCCATTTGGACCCTGGGACTTTTCTTATTTGCTGGGTCCAGCCAGTTCTCCCTGGAATCCACCCCCAGACAGCTATTAGAACTGATCATGTAAAAGACACATTGATTCATACACACGGGCACACACGGGAGGACTAAGCTGGCCACTGTCCCACCCCACCGTCCCCGAGTCTGGATGGGGCTGGGCTGCCCATGGACAGTGGATTCCAGCCTGCTGTGCAGGGAGCTAACTTTCTGCAGTGTCTATTATCTCATGGAGGAAGGGAAAAGAGGGCACAAAATGAATCTCTCTCCGTGTCAGAAATCCTAACAAGGATGCACAATGGCCTGCTTTCCCCCAGCCTGGTGACAGAATTTGCATCTGCCACAAAGGGGAACGGGATCTCCTGTCTATCCAAAGCTTCCAATCTGTTCTGGTTCTTTCTTTCCTCCTCGGAGGCGGGCAGAGGTGGCACTACACATCATCTTCCTGGGAGTTGCATACAAGGTGGTGCAGGAAGGGAGGAATGGCCCTCCCCGTCCCCTGGCTGTCTCCTATGGGAGGGGGACAAAGAGAAGAGAGGGGCATGGGGAAGCCCCCCAAGAGCGGCTTCCTCCCTGCACCGAGTCTCTCATCTCTGTGTGCCACCCCCAGCCCCCTCTAAATCAAGTAATTGGCATGTACAGATTGATCAGTAGCAGCGTGTGGCACGCTCAACAGAAGGATCAGCTGTGGCATATGTACAGCTGGGCAAACCTGGCACGTAGGTGTTTCAGCCGGTGTTCGGGAGCTAGCTATCCATCAGCAGCCATCTTGTTGTGTTTGTTCATTTAAGCATCCGCAGATGGGGGGGGGGCAGAGAGAGAGAGAGAGAGAGAGAGAGAGAGAGAAAGAATTTCAACATCCTCTCCCCTTACAGATCTGCCCTGAGGGTTACAATCTTCTTTCCCACTCTAAGCACTCTCGGCCATATTAGGTTCTATTTTTGCACCCCTTCTTCAACTGCAATGAGGATTGCTTTGGCATCAGAGGTACCACCTGCCGTATGTTCTTTAGTTCCTGTTTGCTGTAAAGCTTGCTTTGGGTCTTGGGTACCTTCACAGCTCATTCTCTGCAAGGGAAAGCAGCATTTCGGTCTTGAGGTAACTCCCCATAGGTCGCCAGCTTCCTCTAGATGGAACTCTGCCCTGCTGAGCCTCTGTGAGGATCCGCTGCTGTCTCTAGCTTTAGCATTTCTCTGTGTCTAACAGGCAACAGCCTTGAGAACACAGATCCTGGAGGAGGGAGAAGAGTCTAGCTGAACACTGCCATGCGGGGAAAGGGGGAGCCATTTTCAAGTCTTCCTGAATGTTCGGTTGCAAACTTGAGATTCTGATTGTGGTGAAGCTTCAAGCAGGTGAAAACATGAGATGAAAGGAAATGAAGTGACTACTGACAGACCAGACTGCTGAATGACTTAATCAGGAGAAAAATCAATGCGTCCAAGGCGGCCGCCCCCAGCAAAAATCAATGGGGGAGAGGGCTGCTGGCCTCCACCCCTCCTATGTTTGTATCTGCCCCCCAGACCACCCAGAACTCTTCCTGTCCTACCCATGCCTTGTCCAAAATGCTAACTTAGTCTGTCGTTTAGCTACTCCTTGAATATTTTATGGAAATCTAGCCTCTTACCCTGAATTAATAAAGACAGGACCACTATGATAATGAACAACCTCAAATTGCATAGGATTAACATAGCTAAAAGTTGAACTCTCTCCTCTACTGAGATGAGTATGGATATTTCTCTTCTGGCAGGTTTTGTGGGTGGCTCTGCTCCAAGTCATGACTCAGGGATCCAGGCTTCTCTCATCTTGAGATGTCTCCAACTTTAGCCCAGAGGCCTCCCCGGTGACTGTAGAATAGAATAGAATGGAGAAGGCTCATTAGGTACTCAATCATCTTGGCCTGAAAGCAACACTTACTACTTTTGTTCACATTTCTTTGGCCTGTGTTCAAAGCACTTGGCCCCAAGTAGATGTGAGGAGTTTGGAAAATCAAACCCTTGGTAGATATCTTCAGAATCTAGATGGTTGGTTCTGCCACATCTCTCCTCCCCTAAATAATATCCTCATCCTCTGATGAACAAAACAGACTCCTAGGTCCTCCAACTGGAAATTGCTTCTACATTTCTACCTACTCTGAGACTTCTTTTTAATAAGACTAATTTCTACTTGCCCTTATCTGGTATAGCCATTCCACTATTTCTTTCTTCTTGTTGTCTTTAAACTTTTTAGGATCTATTTTCCTGTGTCTTTGTTCTCTTTGGTTTTTCTCTACAACTTTTCCAGTTTCTATGCCAGTACTTTTGTTTCTTGTCCTTAAGGCAAATCATATGCCTTAGTTGTTCAGGACCATATCCTATTGTGGGCAGATTTAAGTTCTAATTAAATAAAATTTTGGAGATTAAAGCTACAGGTGTCATTAAAGTTATTATTTTTTTTTTATTTATACTGGTCTTCTAGGACTTCGAGGGTACCTGAAATATTTTGCATACAGTGCCACCTGAAATCTCAGGGACGAGCAGGTGACCTGGCCAAGGCATGGATACTTGACAGTGCCCAGCTCAGATCTCACCCATGATCTTCCTCTGTAGATGCTCATTGGATTTAAAGTGGCAGGATGCTGGGGATTATTATAGAAGTAAGAGGTTTTATTCCTTTACGGAGAGGCTATAGCTTTCCTACCTGTTCAACAAATCATCTTTACTTTTCATTAATTCTTTCTTTATAAATTACTCTAAATGAGATCATGATACCCCCCTACCCCCCTATTGAAGCTGTATGGGTCTCATGAATAGCATCACAACAGCCATACTCTTCTGATGTTTAGGGACCTTCAAAAGCTAAAAAATCCCCTGCCTGTGAATCATTCAATCATCTACTGAAGAAATGTGTCCACTGACCACTCCTATGTGTACCCTTGTAGGAACCAAAGAAATGAAGGTGGTTAAACAGGGTCTTTGACTCAAAGAGGCCATCGTCTCATGAAGGCGATAGATAGAAGTGAAGAGATACAGTTTTGATAAAATGTAAGCTCTATCTTTTTCCTTTGTTCAAAGATACCAGCATGGTGCAAAATGAAAATTGCTTAGTTCTATTTAGAAGGGAGGAGATTGGAGAAGATTTTGCTTTGTGGGGAATTTGATGCTTCAGTTGGGTCTTTGGGAAATGAGAATTTTTCTCTATAAACAAGATGATATGAAAAGAACAATCTAGTCCATAAGAATAGCATTTGCAAAGAAAGACAGGCATAAATTAGTACTGAATAATACAATAATAATAATAATAAAATCTCCATGGAGTAGAAGTTTAGGGAGTAGATGTGGCCCCAAATGTGGAAGGCTGGGTAGTGACAAAAACAGATTAGGTAGAAAGAAAGAGTCCTGATTGCCATGGGTTAGGGTCCAAGGAAGCTTGACAAAAGGGCGGAGAAGGCATGCCACTCTTTGAAGTAGCTCTTACTATGAAGAGAAAGCCCAGTGTGACCCTCCAGACTGTTCTCATGCTTTCTATTGTCTGCCCATACCTGCATCCCTTTTGTTCCAAAAGCCCTTTCCTATTTTATGCCTTTGCAAGTATCTGTGGTATCTTCTCCGTGTCCCAAACCTTGCTGACTCTTTCTCACACATTCTATCCCATGCTGATGACAGTTAAGGTGCCTACAACCTACCTGGTAACCATGCAGTCAAACTCTAGCTCATGTAGAACGGGCCCGCAGACCACCTGGTCCTGACTTGTTACTAATTGTTTTGTTTGAAGAACTTTTTTCTCTCCAACTATATTGAACATTCTTCAGTGGAGTGGAGTGAGTCATCCTCCACAAATTGTGTCTCCCATCAGACTTAGCAGAGTGCTGACCACTTAGGAAATTTCAAGTACATAGTTATTGATTAACTTCAAAGGAATACTTGGAAGGTCATCTTGGGGTTACCTACATTAGAATTGCCTTTGGTGGTTGTTAGAATGCAGATACCAGGGGCCCTGTCCAAGGGCTACTATGTCAGCCTTCTGAAGGGACATCTGTGTGCATATATGTGTATATATATATATATATATATATATATATAAACATTTATTTATTAGTTATACTTGGATACAATACCTTTATTTTATTTATTTTTATGTAGTGCTGGGCCTCACATGTGCTAGGTGAGTGCTCTACTGCTGAGCCACAACCCCAACCCACATCTGCATATATTTAATAGGGGACCTAGATGATTTATTTTTTGACATGGCAATTTGAGAATCAGTGGCCTATAGTAGGAGTTGGCAAACTCTTCCTGTAAAGGGCCATATAGTCAATAATTTCAGCTTTGTGGCTCAACTATAGTCTGTGTTGCATATTCTTCTTTCTTTTACAACTTTTTTAAAAAATGTAAAAACCATTCTTAGTTTTTTAGGCTGTATAAAATGGGCCACGGGTTGGATTTGCCCCATGGGCTATAGTTTATTGAACTCTGGCCCCAAAGAGGGGCTCCTTCACCTCCAGAGACTTCAGAGACATGGGAATTCCGGTGGTTTCAGGTGTGGACCATCCAGAGATAAAGCTCCTCATTGGTTCTCTGCAGGGAGCAGCATTTCCTTACTCTAGAATTTCCCCCTTGTACCCTGGCATCATGGGAATGAGCCTAGCCTTCCTGGGGGATGTCCTCTCATGAACATTTGGTTCTTTCTGCCCGTTCCTGGGACCCACACCCCTTGGCTTGCTTGTGTTAGGTCTTTAACAGGCTCTCTCAGTAGGGCACTAATATGGGTTGGTGAGGCACTGAGGCTGGATCGAAGGCTGGGGAGCTGTCATCTCCCAGCCTGCATAGTTAGCAGATTGCTTTCTGCAGAGGTCTAAATGTCAGCTTCTAAATGGCTCAGGACTACCTGTCCAGTCCCCCCTCCACCTGTCCCTGTTTTAGGTTCACCCTGGGCCTTTTCTTAGGTGAAATTAGAAGCCCCACCCCACCTTCTCACTCACAGGAAGAGGTTGACAGTGGTGAAGAGATTGTTCTCCTCATGTGGCTCCTTGGTGAGGTGTGAATTTGCACAAGATGATTCAATATATTTTCCTGTGTGTTCTTCAGTACATTCCTGCTGCCCAGTGCATTTCTGACATTTCCGTGTGCTGCTCTAAGCTGCCCATGACCCTGACCCCGACTGTGGCTTTTAAGCAAGGAGAGCCAGAATAAACACATACAAATCGTCCTTTGCAGAGCACGTCTGTGCCCGGGCAGCCCTCGGTTGTGTGTCGTGTTCCGTCCTCCACGGGCTGTGATGAAAGACTCACTGGCTATCCTTCCAAGTTGGTTTATAAGTCCTGCCTGCAGGCAGGGGTGGACAGGATGACCCCTCCAGTCCCATCCAGTCTTGGGATCCTGTGATTTCTCACGTGAGTCCACTTTGTGCTCGGGGGCTCATGCACATCAATTAAAAACACAACAGTTTATGCTTCTACAGGAGGGAGGAAAATGAACCATAACAGTCTTCCTATCTGAACCAGACCTCATTTTTCCAAGTCACCACCTTACTCTCATCTGTAAAGCGCTAAATAGCCTGAGACCCAGTTATCTTTGTGACAATCTCTCCCCAGGTGCCCTATCCTGGTAATTATGCTCAGCGGGAATGCTCTAGCTGCCCATCTCTGGAGTTAAACTCATTAAGACAGGAGGCTGAGAAATCTCCACAGAGGGTCCCCACCTTGAAATGATGGGCGCGCTCTCCTTCCTAGGCTACTGGGATTGGGGTTTGGAGTTTGGGGTCCGGATTGCCACAGAGCTTGCTTAACCTGGATTTGCTGCCCTGAATTGTGCTTTGGGGAAGATGCTTACTACGGGGTCAGGAGAGAGGAAGAGCAGAAAGGAGGCCACAAGGAGTTGCCATATTATGAAATGAAATGCAGATGGCAACAAAGCCAAAATGTTGCTTTTTCCAAATTGTGAATACAACGACCATGTTGATTTTTCTCAACTTAAAAGCTGATTTCCCTCTACGACACATCAGAAGATGGGACATTTTCCCCCTGTGCTGAGAAAGTATACGTCTTAAGAACTTGGGTAGGGTACTGATCGGGCTGGAGGCAGAAGGCCACTTGAGACATGGGAGAAGGGACATGGCTCTGCATCAGAGAAGGGCAGGGAAGGGAAGATGCTTACAGAGATGGCCCTGGCTGGAGGTCATGGAGCAGAGATCAAGGTTAGGGGCAGGATAGGGGCTGGGAGGGAGAGGGAGAGCAGGAAGGAGTACAAACAATATCCAGGGCCAAAGCTCTCAATGGATTGGTATGGTTAAGGGAAGACATTCCCTTCTAATTAATTAGTGAAAAGGAAAGGAAGTTGCTAGAAGGAAAGCAGAGTTAGTTAGCTTTCCAAGACTGTAACTGAAGACCTGAGATCAATTAAGTTGGTGACTTAATAAAAGAAAAGGTTTATTTTTGGCTCACAGTTTTAGAGTCTTCAATCTATGGGCAGTTGGCTGTGTGGTTTTTTGGGCCAGGCAGACCATTGGCCCCGAAGGGGACAGCATGGTTGAGCTACCTGCTCACCTCATTGTGGAAAGCAACGAGAGAGAGAGAGAGAGAGAGAGAGAGAGAGAGAGAGAGAGAGAGAGAAGAGGTAGGGTCCCACTACCCCTGTGAGGGCTTCCACCCCAGGCCCTCACCCACCATGTTCTAACTTCCTTCCACAAGGCCCCATTTCTTAAAGTGTCTACCACCCCTCCATAGTGTCACGCTATGAACTGAGCCTTTAAACCCATGGAGCTTTGGGGACATTTCAGATCCAAACTAGAGCAGTTTAGATACAAGAAAATCAGAGCCCAAATTTGCTCTTCGTTTGGTTACAAAGAGCAAAATATGTCCAAGGAGGAAACCATGAGAGAAAGAAAGAGAAGAACTAACTAGAAAGAGATCTAAGGTGCTCTCTAGGAGAACAAGAACATTCTAGTGTCTTGCAGTTTGATGAGGATTGGGTAAAATTTTTTAAAAGACAATAAAATAATTCTCCATTTGTCTCATCAAATGGTAGAAAGTTGATCAAGATATTTTAAGAGACAATAAAATAACTCCCCATTTGTCTTTTCTAGTGGATTGAAACGTCCGAGTGCTACAGATGCTACAGATGAGACAAAGTAAGAGATGTGTTCCTGATCATGTGACAAATAGCTTTTCCAGTCAGAAGTAAATATAGTAAATTCCACACCCCATTTGTCTACGTTGGACAAAAAAAAAACAATATTATTCCTGTAGTGGTCAGGAAGGGACCACCCTATATTCAAGTATCTGAACAGTGATAATACCTGGAAGAATCTTTCAATGCTAGACTTTATGAAGACGATAAAAAAAACATTAATTGAAATGACTGAACATATGCTATGAAATGAGAACTATATGTGGTACACCATAAAGTATAATTATATGCAAGAAGCCATAAATGAATCTATGCTGGGGTTCTGTTATTAGGTTCCGCTGGATCGTCACAAAAAGAAGCAGTTACCAAAACAAAACAAAATGAAGAAACGCTTGGATGTTTGTGAAGACGAGTAGAGTCTTTGTCCTGATGGGGGTTGAGATTATTGATTTATGTATGGATTTGCTTATTTATTTATTGGGCATTGTCCCGGTGCTTCTAAGACTCTTGATTCTGTCCCATAGAGATTTTAGCTCCCAGAAAACAGGAGTCTACACTGGAATGATTGCTCAGTCCTGGTCTCAGAGCTTTGTAACTTGGGGTGGGAAGAAGAGAATGCAAGGTATTTATTCTCTCTCTTTTCTACTGCAGGTGATGTTCCTGCCGGGTCCTTTGTAGTCCCAGATCCTCCATGCAGGCCTTCCCTCCGTGACTCCAGATGCCATCAGACAGCATCACGCCTCCCTTAGACTTGCAAGCCCTGGAGGTTTCATGCTGTTCGAAATCTCTCGCCACCTGTTTTTCAGTTGTGGGTTTTGTTGTTGTTGTTGTGTTTTGTTTTGTTTTTCGCTCTTCTGACACCTTTGTCATCAGTACCTCTTATAAAATATTCCCTATTGTTCCCTTACTGACCTGATGCAAGCTTTGTTTTTTGTTTTTTTTTTTCTGATGGAATTTTGGCTGACAGAGGCACCTCTTGCTATTTGTAGAACCTGATTAGGCAATACATGTAATTTTTCAATTAAAAAAAAAACAGGGACCATACTAACATATTACTAAAGGGCATTTGATTTTCTTTAATGCCCACTTTAAAATATCTGCTGCCAGATCATCGTTACTAGAGAATGGTTTCTTTTTACTTTGTGGGTGGTATGTGTATCTTGCCTCTGCATAGAGAAGATTGAGCTACCTGGCTCCTTCTGTTAGAAGAACAACTTCCAGCAAGGCCCAGGGCCTACCAGGCATGTTTCGTTGAGAAGTGTGGAGTCTATGGCATTTTCTGAGAATCACTATTAAAATCCCCTCTGGCTGCTGCAGATCGGGGTTTAGTATCTCATATTTTGACATTCACAGGGGAAAGCAAGCTTGGCCCCAAAGCTTCTCAGTTGACTCGTTGAGCACAGGAAACAGAATTACTCTTGTTGTGAGGAAACATGAAAAAAAGAAAAAACAAGGGACCCCCCCACCCAGGAGTTGAGGATTTTTTTGAGACTCACCTCCCCAGGAGAACAGAAGTTAGCCACTGAAAGCAAATAATGAGTTACAAAAGGGCAATGATTGAAACCATTTCATCAAGGAACAGCCAGGGGATGAGCTCGTGCACACACACACACACACATACACACACACATAAACACACAAAAAACCACACACACAGAGTTTAGATCTGAAATGTGCCCCAAAGACTCATTTGTTAAAAGTTTGGTCCCTGATCCTATTGGGAGATGATGAAAACATTAAGGAATGGGGCCTAGCAAAAGAAGTTTAGGTCATTGAAGGTGTGAAAGTATGACCTTGAAAGGGATATTGGGACCCTGGTCCCTTTTTCTTGCTCTTTTTCCCCCTCTACCAGGAGGTAAATAGACCTCCTCCATCATGTACTGCACTCCTGCCATGAGGTTTTGTGCTGTCATAGGCTCAGAGCATCAGGGCCAATTGACCATAGTCTGAAACCTCTGAAACCATGAGTCAAGATAAACCTTTCATCCCTTTAAGTTGATTATTTCAGGTATTTTGTCACAGTAATGAGAAGCTAACTAATATACACGTATTTAATAGAAATGAGAAGTGATGATAGGGGATTGCATTCAATAATTCAATTCAATAAACACTTTTGGAAACACCTTCTATATGCTAGAGACTGTGCATCTGGCTCAGGGAATAGGGAAAAATAAATGCAACTCTCTCTTCCTCCATGAAGTAAATTAAAAGTGGGCTGAAAGGAATCACAAAGAATTAGGTGGAAAAAAATGCAGATGGTGCAAACATATTGTAGAAGAGAAGGTGTGAAAAAGAGAGTCAAACCGAGGTAGGAGCTAGAGATGAATTGCATATAATGAAGACCTCAGAGAACAACAGAAGCTAGAAGCGTGATTCTTAATAGTGAGATGGCTGGGTCAGGTGGCAAGTTTCTGACCCCCACCCTGATATATTTTACACATTTTAACAAAGTCAGATGTCTCTGTTCACATAGCCATGCATGCATAACGTCTTGCTGCAACTCTAAATGGAACAGGATGTGGAAGGACACACATACACAAAGGAGTGGCCTATTTGAGGTTCAAAATCTCAAGTTCTGTCCCTTGGGGAAAAAGAAATCAAGAACATCCTCATGTCCACTAGCTATTCTGTGTTCTTGGGCACGAACCTCATATTGACATTGCCAGTAATTAGAGTTAGCTTGACATGGAAATTGTGTGTATTTATCAAGGACTGAACCGAATAGAATTTACTCTTTAGTACATAGGCACGGTAGGTCACCCATCTCCATAAAACCCTGGTTTGCTTTGTGTGTAGATTGTAGAGATTTAATTCTTAATTGTGAGTTTCTTTACTTTGCAAGTTCCTTTTCTTAATGTGAGGACCTTTTGCATGTAGTTTCCATAGACTATTTTTATCACATATTTACATCCTTAGGAGTTACTTGTTAAAGAGGCAATTAAAGTAAATAGCGTAATCATGTGTTTATAAGGCTTAATTATAGACCCTCATATATAATGACACAATTATGACATCTAATCTTATTGTAAAATTCCTGCTTGAATTTTCAGGACAAAAAGAATTTTCCTCTTGAGTTTCAGCGTCTCAGGTGTTTTCAGATTTACTTGGAAAATTGCTAAAAGGAATGTATCTGCTTTTGAGACTCAATAAATGGGAATTTTGAGAGCACAGAAGTGCATGAATGTTCGATTTTCAACTTATTTTTAATTTATACAGCTAAAAAAATGACAGGCCTTTCCTTGAATGGAAACTCACTTCCACCAGAACTCATAATACAGACTATCAAAATCAAGCCAGCTATAGTGAATTTTTCTGTTATCCAAGTTCATAGTCATGATGGGATGGATCCTTTTCTCCCCCTAATTTATAACCTTCAGAATTTGGCTTTGCTTTCACATAAGCCTGCTCTGTGAAACAATTACACATAACTGTCACAACAATAATGAGAACTACCCTGTGTTCCTATTTACAGGTCCCCAATTGTTTTAGGTACATCCTCTCAAGGTTCCAAGAGTTCAAGGTTTAAAAGAGTGGTAGAGTTGGCATCTAAACACAGTTCTGACCGACTCAGGGTTGCACCTGTACCGGGGATGCTTCTGTGTTTTGCTGATTTGTGATTCTCCGACAGCTCCAGTGTTTACTTCTCATTATGGAATCAGTATTTAACATTCTCAGCACAGGAATGCCAAGTGAAGTCTCGTTTCTTCAGTGTCAGATTCCCCTCACCCTGGCGAAGGCCTTTGTTGAAGCTGATTGACTCTGAAGGGAATTTGCCCGTGTGTGGTTTTCAAGGGAGAAAGACCCGGGCAACAGCAGCCGAGTGCAGGACATTGTGAGAACAAAGTCGGTAAAGATGTCACTACACCGGTGACCAGAGATGACAGCGTTTTGAGCCGATGTCTGCTTCTCTTTTAGGCTGTGGATGGTTCTCAGAGAAATGCACTTGGGCTGATGGGAGGATGTCCAAGCTGGTACCTTCGTGGAGGGTACGGTACAAACCCCATTGTTCTCATGAAGCAGTCGTGTAGTTAGCATCACGACGCTTCCTTTAAACCACGCCTGCATTATGTCAAATAGAATTTGTCAGTCATCAACTAACTGAATGCTGTAATTGATCATTATTCCCTGAGAAAGGCAAAAAAAAAAAAAAAAGCAACAATTAAAGAAGCCATGAGAGAATTTATTAAAGCAAGGAGGAGAGGAAATCTCCAAAATCCTTTCATCAAGTTAACTGGAAAGAAATGGGGAGAAATACAGAAATGGTATTTCAGGTCCTTCATTGATTTACTCAGAGGCAAAGCCCTGAGAAAACAACTGATCAATTCAGGGAGGGATCAGCTGGGCTAGATGCCCCGTCAACATCCCCCTCTACAAATGGCAGCCTGTTAATTGCAGCCGTGTTTGCTGTGAATGAATTTCTTTAATGTTCATTCATTCATTCATTTGCTAATTCATTATTAAGTGTGTTATTCAATGATAAGGGCTATATTACCTAGCTGCTGCTGCATTTGTTCAATTTGTATTGCTAATGCTTCAGAAAACAGAAACAGGGAGCAAAAAAAAAGCACATTGAATTTTCTTACAGTTGTAGATTGGGGTGTAATATCAATAACTTTAATGGAAGCAAAGTCGGTGCCCTGATAGGAGCCCTGCTGCTCCTCAAATAAATGGCTTGGCTCCACCTCAGCATTTATCTGCCAGTGCTCGGCTTTATCAGGGCACCAACTCAGATTCCATTAATGTTATCTCTTAATTAGCTATGCGATTAACCTGTGTTACTCCTGCGCGGTAATGAGTGGAAGACAGAACCAGAGAAGTTCAGCTGCCTTATAATTCCCTCTCCAGAAGCCCAATCATTCTGGAAACCATTCCAGGAAAGGAAGAAATAAAGAAAAGAAAGAAAGAAAAAGAAAAGTTCTGATTCGTTCTGCACTTGGATCCAAGGGCGAGTTTTGTCCTCCTTGGAGGGGGAATCAACTGGGACCTTATTGATGATACTTAGACACTCTTCTAGTGCTTTCTACTGATTACTTCCTTTCATCTTCAGAGTAGCCTATAAGGTAGGTCTTATTATTATCCCCACTTTACAGAGGAGGAAACCGAGATCCAGAAAGGTCCAATAACTATCCCAAGGTCACACAGGTCAGGGAGGGCAGAGACAGGATCCAAAGGCAGGAAAAAAGACAGGGAGACTGTGCACCCAGCCACCTCCCTGGGATCCTGAGTACAGGATTCCAGGGTAAGGCATCGTTAGAGAGCTGCAGACGCCCCACGCCCACCCTCTCTTTGAGGCTGGCTTTGGAACCCCAAGACAGCCTCCTCCTCCTTACACCTCTGCGGCAGGGGCGCTCCTGGCTGCTCGCTGCTGAGAAGAGCTCTTTCTGCTTAGATTTTTCTGCCTGTAGAAATTTGCTCTCCAGTAGCTCTCAGGGGAGCCGAGGTTG